CAAAAGGTGTCAACACCAAGATGGCAAATACATTAGAATTATCTGACAAAATCCTAAAGTCGCCATAAAATGCTTTACGCAATTATGAGCACACCTGAAACAAATGGAAAAAATTCTCAGCAACAAAAAAGAAATAAAGAGCCAAATGGAAACTTTTTTGAGACAGAGTTTCATGTTGTGGCCCGAGGTAGAGTATGATGGCGTCTACCTCAAACTCTTAGGCTGAAGAGATCCTCCCGCCCCAGCCTCCCAAGTAGCTGGGACTACAGGAGCCCGACACAATACCCAGCTAATTTTTAGAGACAGAGTCTTGCTCTTGCTCAGGCTGGTCTCAAACTCCGGAGCTCAAGCAGTCCGCTCTGCCTCAGCCTCCCAGAGTGCTGGGATTACAGGAGTGAGGCACTGCACCCAGCCAACAGATGTTTTTAGTGTAATGCCTGAGTCATGGCTGTAGGTATGCTCATCACCCAGAGCGCGCTCATTATACCTGTAAGGTAGTTTTGCCCCCCGTCTTGTGTCATTTTTAATATCACTAAAAGTTAGAGTGCTATGTGAAATGCCATGCACACACTGCCAAACAATCCTCCAGAAAAGCTGTCCCATTTACATTCCCACTAACAGCACATGACTGTCCCTCCGTCTACAGATCCCTGCCAACAAGTACTGCTAAATGTTTTTCCTTGTTTTCGAATTTGACCAGTGAAAATGGTTCATCATTGTTATTTTTACATATACAGGGTGGACACAAAGTTCATGTACAAAGTAGTTTAACGTAGTAAACTGCGAGTGAACTTTATATTCACCCTGTATTTCTTCATTATTAAACGGTCACTGTATTTTCATGTGTCTAAAAACCAAAAACGGTCCTTCTTTTAAAAATTACCACTTAAGGTCTTCTGTGATTACTCATTGTTTACCTTACAATAAAAGAACCTTGGATATTTTAGAAATATTGGCCATTTGACATATATGATGGAAATGTATTTTCTCCCACTTTGTTATTTTTTAACTTTGCTTATGTTGGGTTTTTTTGACAGTAACAAAAGTTTTTAATTGGCTTAAATTTCATTTCAGCAAATCAAATTTAACTAAATCTTCACCCCATTAAGTGAAATACTGAAGACACAAACCTAAAGGCTCAGTACCAATTAGTTTTAGAGCCAATCACAGTATCACCATCCTCACTACTGATAACTTACTAGGGGAGAAGAGGATGCTGACACTAGTTACCTGCACACTCAGTTCCCAAGGCTTCCCTCCAAACCACACACGAGTGGAGTATCTCCTACCCACAACACCTGGGACCTCTGTGTGTTACGTCAGCATTCAAAAATTTCAGATTCTGGAACATTCAGATTCTTACATTAGGGATATTCAACCTGTACACAGTTTCCCCAGGTTAGATAACTCAACTTTTAGCTTGATTTTAAATTAATATTCCATTCCCCCACTGGGATCTCATTCCTGCTTTAAATCCCAACCTACTGGGCTGACAGATGACCATGGAGCCCTTTTTTCTCCTAGAGCCAAAGTCCATCCTCATGGCTTCACCGTCATCTGGAAAACACCTCAAAATAACCCAAACTGTGCAAACTACTAGACTACCACCTGACAGCTCATTGTCATCACTTATTTTCTTTTTTTAAGACAGAGTCTCACTTTGTCGCCCTCAGTAGAGTGCCATGCCATCACAGGTCACAGAAACTTCAAACTCTTGGGCTTAAGTGATTCTCTTGTCTCAGCCTCCCAAGTAGGTGGGACTACCAGTGCGTGCCACAGCACCCAGCTATTTTTAGAGACATGATTTCACTCTTGCTCAGGCTGGTCTCATACTCCTGAGCTCAGGCAATCCACCATGCCTCAGTCTCCCAGAGTACTAGGATGTAAGGCATGAGCCACAGCACCTGGCATATCGCTTAAGAGATTTCTGTTACCAGGCTCTGTCCTCTTTCGGACATTTACTTAAATATACTAAGTGCCCCTGGGCGCTATAATTTATACTGCTGATTAACTCCCCTGAGCAGTACTCACCCGGAGTAAAGAAAACAAATGTGATCCTATTCCTTTTTTCTACTTCTTTCCCCCACCACCCACTCAAAGGTTCTAGAAGACTTCATATAACGTTGTCTGGTTCATGACAAGTAGCATTAACAATGTCATAAAAGGCTCGGTGCCCACAGCACAGTGGTTATGACACCAGCCACATACACCAAGGCTGGTGGATTTGAACCTGGCGTGGGCCAGTTGAACAACAATGACAAATCCAACAAAAAAATAGCTGGGCATTCTGGTTGGCACCTGTAGTCCTAACTACTCATGAAGCTGAGGCAAGAGAATTGCTTAAGCCCAACAGTTAGAGGTTTCTGTGAACTGTGACACCTCAGCACTCTACTGAAGGTGACACAGACAATGTCTCAAAAAAAAAAAAGTCATAAAAAAATAACTTCCATGAATATCACAGACATAAAATCATAATGAGGTAAAACTGTTTAAAAGAGTATCTTTAAATAATGTGAAGGGAAAAAAAATTCAATAAAATTTATCTACACATATATGCCCTCACATTATTCCAGTATTTCACAGAATTAAAAATTTGTCTACAGGCTTGGTGCCCATAGCTCAGTGAGTAGGGCACCAGCCACATACACCAAAGCTGGTGGGTTCCAGCCCAGGCCAGGCTTACTAAACAACAACTGCAACCAAAACATAGCCAGGCATTGTGGCAGATGCCTGTAGTCCCAGCTACTTGGGAGGCAAAGGCAAGAACACTGCTTAAGCCTAAGAGCTTGAGGCTGCTGGGAGCTATGATGCCACAGCACTCTACCAAGGGCAACATAATAAGACTTTGTCTCAAAAAAAAAAAAAAGAAGAAGAATTTGTCTAAAATTTCTGACTAGGCTCAGTGCCTGTGGCTCAAATGGCTAAGGCGCCAGCCACATACACTAAGTTGGCAGGTTTGAATCCAGCCCAGGCCGCCAAACAACAATGACAGTTGCAACTAAAAAATAGCCGGGCGCTGTGGTAGGCGCCTGTAGTCCCAGCTAGTTGGGAGGCTGAGGCAGGAGACTCACTTGAGCCCAGGAGTTGGAGGTTGCTGTGAGCTGTGATGCCACAGCATTCTGCCCAAGGGGACAGCTTGAAGCTGTCTCAAAAAATAAAATAAAATAAAATAAAATTTCTGACTAGCCCAAAAAATATTTACCATTCCCTTCCTAACTAGCATTGTATTTACTAAAGACATCTGCTATCAATAACCATAACTATAGTATTAATGCTTAGAGCTACTTTACAAACTCAAATCTTTCATTTTCTTTAGTGTAACATTTCAAGTGATAATTTTTTTTTTTTTTTTTTGAGACAGAGTGTCACTCTATCACCCTGGGTAGAGTGCCATAGTGTCATTGCTCACAGCAACCTCAAACTCTGGGGCTTAAGTGATCCTCATGCTTCGGCCTCTGGAGTAGCTGGGACTATAGGTGTGCACCACTATGCCTAGCTAATTTTTCTATTTTTAGAAAAGACGGGTCTCACTCTTGCTTAGGCTATTCTCAAACCCCTGAGCTCAAGCAATCTGCTTACCTCAGCCTCGTAGACTGTTAGAATCACAGGTTGAGAGCCACCATGCCCAGCTCAAGTCAAGATTTTTTAAACTAATTTTGTTCATACTCCAGAATACTCTCATGCTAAAAAAGAATTTTTTTTTTTTTTTTT